ACTATCTACTCTTGTCTTCACAAAACAAATAAGGATAATTTAGAGTTTCACCTCCGTAATGCCAAGCTCTGATGCTCTTACACCACCTGGTATCTTGCTTAGTCACCAGTTCCACTGGGTTCACTGATACCAGCTGTGGTGCAAAAGCCTTTGATGACCACAGTGCAACCATCCCTTCCTCCACTCCTCCCTGTCCTTTACTGCAAGTCACAGCTTTTTTTCTGCCTTTATGACATGAGTATTGAAGCTCAGGTTGCCTCAGAGCTAGCATCCATTGACCAGCTAGTCAGTCATATCTCTGCTCCTGCAGAGTTAATCCCATTTCCAGTCCCTGCTCATGGATCTCCCCCTGTCATCATTCTGGGAAGCAGGAGGCCGTGACCCAGGCAGCACAGGTTGCATTGCAGGTTTTGGCTGTAGCCATTCCCTTGTCTAATCCCCTTCTCATCCATCCCTGTGAGCAGTGTGGTGAGTGAGGAGGAGCAGCTGCAGAGGCGTGGAGCCTGCTGAGGTCAGTGGTGCCACTGCTTGTTTTGCCCTCCCTGCATGGGAAGCGTGTCCCAGTGCAGCTCACCCCCAGCCCTTCCACCCAGTGTGCTCAGCAGTTCCCTGTGAGCTCACTCACCCTGCCTTTTTGTCAACTGATGGCAAACTGAGTATAAATTTTCATGTTGTTGGCATCTTTTCACGTGCTGTTGTGGATTCTTTTAAGCTCTTGTTGAGTATTTCCTTCAGTCACGCATAACTGAATTCATAAAAATAGTACAAATGATTCTGTGTTTTTTTCTTTCTGTCTTCATTCTGAAAACATCTTGAACTTTATTTCATGGTAACCTTTATCCAGCTGTAAAAAAATTTAAAATTGTCCAGTGGTTTGAAATGAATGGGATAAATAGGAAAGCGAATATAGTCAAGATAGCAACGCTGAATAAATCTCCTTTCATTAAGAAAACAGGCTAAAAACAGTACCACTTCCTTTCCCCAGTTTGTTATTGGTGAGCAAACTAAATACATACAGACAGTCTTCCTTGTGATGTTGTGATTACCAGTCCTCCTTTTCCTATGGTGTTTTTCCTGTTCCTTGTGTGTAAACAAACTGCAATCATAATACCATGACACCCAGTCCTCATCTTCTGGCAGCTGCCTGTGGAAATTACTTCCTCCTTCAAGTCCTGCTTTTTCTCTGAGCCCTGCATTTAGAGAAACTGGTGATCTCTGTGTGACTATCCCAGGACATTTCTGATTCTCCATCAGACCTTTATCACACCAACACCGTGTTTTCTGATTATTTCCATCTGGTTTTGCTTGGAGTTTGGAGAAAGCTTTCTAACCTGGATTTTATATGTATTTCCTTGACTGTCCTGTAAATGCTTATCTGAGCTGGACAGGAAAAACTTGTTCTTGGTCTTGAACTTGTTGTTTGGTCTTGGGATGTTACTGAAGACTCATTAAAATATCAGAGAAGCTTTCATGAAGGAATGTGTCATTTTGTGCTTCTGCTCACCTGCCTGGATCTCCTAAAGCAAACTTTTGTCCATTCACAAGAGAAATTCTGGTGTCAGGACTGGCAGCCAGTCAGAAATGTCTAACTGCCCAATGACTTTCCCCACAAGAAAAAGGTAAATTTGCACTTGAAAATTTCAATCACATGTAAAGTCTGAAACTTGATTTGCTCAGAGAGGTCATCGATGTTTAACTTTGTATTAGGAAATACCCTTTACCAATACATTTCAATGGGAAAAGCAAAGACTTGGGTTCATTCCAAAAGATTCATTCATGAAAAATTCTGCTGAATGAAAAAGGAAATCTACAAATTTTTTTTAAAGAATTCCTCCACCTGGAATGAATGTTTTGGTCTAGGCTAAGTGTACATTTTACAGATAATTCAACTCAATTTTAATTCAACTGATGTAACACTATAATAAATAATGTAAGAAGTAGTGGCATGTCTTTAATGTTCTTGCCTGCATAACGTGTCTGGATTCTCTGCAGATATAAAGCCTGCTGTTATTTCATGTTGAAGGTGAAGTATGTCCATCAATGTCTTTCCCAGGGGAATAGAGAGAACAAGGCTTGGGAGAAGGTGGTTTGGCACGCACACTCCTCGTGAGGAGCAAACTTGCACAGCAGCTTGTCTTTAACTCTTCCCAAGCAGTGGAGCGTGTCATTGCTTTTGCAATAAACCATTCCTCAGGAACAGATATAGACTGGCTGAAAAATAATTAAAAACTTAATTTTCTGTAATACTGTCCATCAAACAACTTTACTCAATCTTTTTGAAAGGCTGCTCTGCAGCATGGAAAAAAGACTGGCAGTAGTGCAAGAACAGGGAGTATTTATGACCAGTGGAAGCATGGTTGGCCTTTTGCCCTAGAGAAATGGCTGGATGAGATCTTCTGCTTAAATCAAGCATTAATAAAATAATTTGGACCTAGGCCCCAGGTGATGATGTTTGGCAAAGCAGCTGCAAAGGCTTTTTTTACTGTCCAGACTGATACTGACCTGCATGGATGTGCCTAGGTTCTGTTGTGTGCAAACCCACAGCTGTAGATTTGATCAATCCTCTCTTTTGGGAAAACCTGATTTTTTACTGAAGCATAAAATTTGTAGATTATGTCTTTTACAAAGACTTGGTCCCAACAGCCAAAATCCTCTTTGATTTATCTCCTGCAGTTGCTTTACAGTGTGTTGTGTAGCACCTCAAGCAAGGCAAACAAAGCTTTATTCTGCTCTGGACAGCTGTTAGGGACAGATCCACTGACTCAACTGCTCAAGAGAACAACCCCCAAACTGGGATATTTTATTCCAAACTAACACACGTAAAACTTCTCTTCTTCCTATGTCCACAGTTCCATGGAGTAGATTTTCAACATATAACTAAAGACCAAGAGCAAATGCAAGAAACCCTAATATCAGTATCAGTGTCACCAGCAGTGACACTCTGTTGGTAAGCACAATTTTTTCCCCAAACTGCCTGATTTTTTCCCCCAAACTTATTTCTGATTTCCTTTCCTCATTTAGTCCATCTGATAATGCCACCAGACATTATTTCATCTCCTGAGAGGACTGAAAGGGGGAGGATTCAGAGCTAGTGCAAATTCACTTTTCTCTGCTTACATTAATCTGTGTCACGTTATGCTGGATATGCTATTCTGAGAGGCAGCTTGGGCTTCTTTATCTGTCACAGTAGCACTGCTTTGCTTTTCTAATCAGCAAACAAGAAGCCATGTCCTAAACAGACCACTTCTTTATCTTCTGTGTTGGTTATTTTTGTGGGGTGTTTTTATTTTCCCTGACAAAAATATAAATAATTCTTTACCACTGATAATAATTAAAAACTGTACTTTTCCTTGTTGATCATGAACTGAATGGAAAGCCTGTAGTCATTTGTCTGTCCCTTCAATGGGGAAATCAATTCTCAGTTATCTACACTTGGCTTGTCTGGCTTGAGGATTAACCAGGCTGGGGATGCACTGACCTCGGCTCATTCACCATGTGCAAAGTTGACTTTGGAGAGGAGACTGTATTGATCCCAGCAGTTCCAGGGCTCCCTCCAGCTCAGCAGCACGTCACCTGTGTCACTCACAGCTCTGCAGGCTGCTGCCATGGCCAGTCCTGCAGCAGCAGGAGATCCAGCACTTCTTTCTGCACTGACTTGGCATAAACTGAGTTTATTTATGCTCCGGGATGGATGGTGGCAGCCCCTCAGCTGTCAGGAGCTCAGGAAACAATCTTACTCCTTAGACTACCAGCAGAGGAGGGATTTCCAACTTTAAATAAACTAGTTTGTTACTACTTAGTTTAATTTAGTTCCCACAGAACTGGGAGAGATTGATACACTGTGTTTGTAGGCAAGGCTGCTCCTTCTGCAGCCTGGTCATGGTTACAGTAAGATCCTGTTCCTTGTGTTTCCCAGCAAAATGGTTTTCATTTTCACCTTTAGCAGCAAATACAGACTGCTTGAACTTGTATTTACTTTAAATAATTAGAATGTGGTGAGTTAAGGTCTTAATGCAGGTCATCAGTTAAATTTTAAATATTTAGGTGCTTAAACAACAGACTCCACATTAAAGTGATATCAACAAAAAGTGATATCTAATTTGTTTTGTTTAATTGGAAAAAAAATTTTTGCAGATTTGTATTTGCCTTGTTATCTCTATCCTTTATTACTCCAAAGAAATTCTGAATAGAGATGTTATCTCATCTTTAGCTGTGCTCTTGCAATCTTGCAATTCGTCAAACCAGTAATTTATGTTTCTGTTGAAAGGAGATGAGAAGTAATTAACTTGTGTATTGCATCCTTGTCTTTGCAGGCCTTTCATTTTCAGTAAATACCTGCACTAGCAGGTGTTTTTGTTTTTAAATTTCAGACTCCTCTAAACTGCTGTGCTTCCTGAGGAAGGCCAGCACTCTCAGCAGTGTACGTGTGTGCTTGGTGCCTTGCAGAATTCAGTGCCAGGAGTCCAGTCCTGTACTGATGTCATTGTGGTGTTCACATTGACTTCACTCCAGCACTTGCAATCCTGGGGTAGCAGGGTTCTTTGCCCCACTGAATTACTGGCCCTGGTTCTCAGGATATTTCCCCACTCTGCCACGCACATCCACAAGTTGTTTACTTGCCTGTGTGTGCTTCTGGCAGCCTGTATTCCTGGATGACCTATTTTTGCAAGAATCAAATGCCTGTGGCAGCAGCATTTTATTGGCCCTTGCTGGGCTGACACCACTGCAGCGAGAGCGCTCACGGTCAGTGACACTGCAAGTCCTGCCTGAGCAAACTGACCTCCTGCAGCTTTGCAGCAGCTTTTATGACAGTCACTTTCTAGCAGGAGAGGGTGGGCTCACAAAGACGTGTTTTCCATCGACAGAACCAACTCCAAGGCTAACTAGTAAGTGACAGAAATGAGAAGTGTCTGTGCAGAACGCACTAATAAAGGAACATGGACACCCTCCTCTTGTCCTGCTGACAGGGTACTGAATCATGTGTAACTCATGCTTTCCTCTGTAGTTTCATCTCCCTCAGCTAAAATGGTAAGGGTGTGACAGATCAGCAGAGGTCAGGTGAGACTGGATGGAAGGGGAGGAGTTGCTCTCATTTGGAATTTTTTTTTTTTTCAGTAACAAAACTGGTCACACCTCTAATAGCCAGACTCAGCTGTGTTTTCAGGTAATGTTAATAACAGGTTGCTAGAGTGCTTAGCTTGTTCAATCCATTCAGTAATTAGAGCTGGTGCTGAAGTCATAAAGAACGGAATGAGGCTTTAATGAACACATTAATTTGTCTGCAAGTACAGCTCTGCAGAGCGTCCTCACAAATGGCAGTCACCCAACAGGGCAGGTCCATGTGGCAGCTGAGGACAAAACCCCAACATTTAAGTGACCATCAAGAAGATCAGTTCAGCAGTGCAAGCCAAGGAAATTAAAGCTAGCAACTCTACAGCTAGATTAGTTATTTTTCAAAATCTCAAAGTGCTGAGAACTTTGTGTCTTTATTCAGTGTTAAGGCTGATACTTCCAGCAATATTCACACACTGAGGCAATGTTTTTAATGACTCAGGGGAAGAAGCTGTCTACTGAATCACCAGTATCCAAACCTGAAGAACCCAACTGCTTTCTGTAAATCTGAATATAATTAAGCATAGTCTTGTTCTTTTTGTTAGACATGAAACAACCATAGATGGTGAGACACCACTTACATAACAGTAAAAATATTACTTGTTTTAGTTTTCTACCCCAGAATCTGGAACCTACAATGTATTGAAGTGTGTTGTTTATAAGGACTGAGAAGAGGATAAAACAAATATCTAGAAGAAACGTACACCCTAAACATGCAAACAACATTTCTGCTCAAGAAACTCCTAAACCAGATGTTGTTAGAAGCTGGAAAAATATTCTAGAGGTAAAACCATGCAAGCTTGTGCTGTTCTTAATCCATTGACCGTTGTCAAACCATGGAGTAACGGGAGCTTTGATATGATCTAGTGTTGTCAGCACTCTCCATGTTCTTTGAACACGACAAGCAGTTACATCAGATTAGAAGAAGAGACAGTGGGTGTCCCATATTGTCCCAAAAATAAAAAAAGCACCAGGTAAACATTGCATGAGGACATGATTGATGCCAGAAGAACAGAGGGTGGAAGGTCAAGGAAAGGTAAGAATTATTAGTAACAGAAAATATATCTTTCTCAAGATCTAGAATGTAGTAAGAAAGATCTCCAGGGATGAATATCATTTAGTTTCAAAAGGAGACTAACTGGAAGGCTAGCAAATGCTGTAAAAGAAGTGTTCTCACATTTTCATCTATTGACCTGCTAATTTATTATTTTTTTTTCTTTAAAGCATTTGTTACAAGAGCTGTTCTGCAAATAATCTGGTGGGTTCTTTTTTGTTTGTGGGTTTTTTTAAAATTTTTTTTGTTACAGCAGAAATAATTTTGATGCTGACTTGTCTGTTTTCTAAACAGAGATGTGCCAGAACATCAGCAGAGTCATAGGAATTAGCCAATACTTGCCTGCTGAAGTGTTTGCAGTAGCTGCTTGCGAAGAGGAAACATTTTTTTGGCTGTGTAGGTGACTTTCATCACATCTTCCAGACTGAGGTGTAGAACAGCTGTAGAGATCCAGAAAGAAGGACCCTGAGGCCTTCAGCTTAAGCTCCAGTTCTGTGTTTATGCCTGTGTGGAATAGATCCCATTACATTGACCTGAATCTAAACAAGATTACATGAAATTAAAGTATTGGAGAGTTGTGTCATACAGGAGAGTTGTGCTGTCATACAGGAGAGTTGTGCTGCACTCTCTGCTACACTAATTGGATATTACTGTCTTAATTTTGGGACAAACAGGACACTTTCCATGAATGAATGATAAAAATAAGATGTAGATCCAGAACTTTTCATTTCCAGTTTCTACAACTCACTTATAGAGGTATTTCATTTGTTATCCACATTGAAGTGGCAGATTTTTCCATCATGGTGGCAACAAGCTGACTTCCCTCTGATTGTCTTGTGATTCCTTCCAAAAGAAAGCCAAAGGAGCAATCCAGGCAGGCTTTCCCTCTATCAGGTGTGCATGTTATGTACACCAGATGGACATACACAAGGTAAACACACTGCTGGAGGGCTGCAGGCACTCTGCATTCAGCTGTAAACACATACACACAGAAATAAGGCAGATCACAGCTGAACTCTGCTGAAGTCTTAATGCAAAACTGGCCTCATGGTAATAATTTTAACCTCCTGAAGGGAGGTTGCAGACAGGTGGGGTCGATCTCTTCCACCGGGCAGCAACTGGCAGAACAAGAGGACACAGTCTCAAGCTATGTCAGGGAAGGTTTAGGTTGGATATTAGGAAAAAATTTTCACTGAAAGAATAGTAAAATACTGGAATTGTCTTCCTAGGGAGGTGGTGGAATCACCATCTCTGGATATGTTTAAAAAGAGACTGGACTTGGCACTTGGTGCTATAGTCTGGTTGTGGTGTTAGGGCAAAGGTTGGACTTGATGATCTTAGAGGTCTCTTCAAACATCATTATTCTGTGATTCTGTGATTTTACTGGAGTGGTTACAAAGCCTGGAAGAGCAGAGAAAGTCCAAAAGCTTTACTTTGCAAACTGCAAAACAGCTGGAAATCAACAGTGGGAAGGGAAGACTTTGCTGCCACGTGTGTCTTCAACTGCAGGCAAAGCTCCCTCGGTATCTCTGGTGCTATCATCGTTGTGACTTGCCTTTGATTAATGCATGTGGAACCTCCTGAGCCTGGCACACTGTGTTGTGCCTGTTTCATAACTGCCTGGAGTTTCCTGTTAAGTAATCTGGCTGTGAGAGTTACAAAGCTGTCCTGCTTCTCTTAACATTTCAGAGGAGGAAAAAATGTAGTGTTTTCCCCTTCTCTACTACAAAAGTGGTAGACGTTTATCTCAGCCAAGTGGGCATTGTCACTGGGTGTGATAATTAAAAGCCTCCACTGATTAACTACAACAGTTTCTCTCCTAAATGTCCTGAGTGCCTCTCTGCTCTTTGCCTCTCCCCTGAGCCACAGCAGCTCTCTCTGGCAGCTGGGGCATTGGAGACTTTGCTGCCTCTTGGATGCTGGGGCACAAGACATTGCTATGGGCCTGTTCATGATCCTCCTCTCCTTCTGAGGCTCAGGGGTTTCTTCTCTGATGCCATTCTCTCCTCTTTTACTCAACCACCCACCTTGAAATGAAGGACTCCCTTTGCCTTCCATCCCCACTCCCACTCATCTGGCGCAGCCACTGACCCCACAGACTTTTTGCTCACAACAAGCAACTTTTCTGGGAAGGCAAGATGCTCTGCCTGCCTTGGAAATGAATTGAGGCCGAGTGTGGCTGCTTTCCAGCCTCTCCATGGCCACAGTGGTTTCTTGCCAGGCTCCCTCCTCTCCGTGGTCACTGTGTGGGCAGAGGCCAGCAGGAGTGGGCAGGCTGGGCAGTCCAGCCCAGGGAGGTGATGCAAGGTGCTGCAGGATGGACACAAGGCTGATGGTGCTGGGCTGGTGGCTGCCCTGGCCCTGTGGCAATATAAAGTTCATACATAATTCATAAATGTCATACATTGGCACTGCTTGTGCAATTTGCTCTGGTGGCTGGGATGGTGTAGGAATGCTGCGTGTAGCCTCTTGTTACGCAGAAAACCTGTTGGTATTTCCTGTCATCATTGGTGAAGACATAAAAAATAGGGAAAATACAATTTAAGTAGAGAAAAACAGAGTGACTGAACCATTTACCACCACCCCCAAATATTTCAGAGGCCTCTGTGTCCTGGCCAGGACTGTGGCACACAGGGCTCTACCCCAAGGTGCTGGAGCTGTTGGGGCTTTTGCCTTGAACAGCTGGTACAGGTGCATTGTGTGGGTGGGAGGAGGGATGCCAGTGTTTATTTTTTTTCCCAGCAGTGAAAACCAGAGGGTTGGACTGATTGCTTCACCTTTTCAGCCTGCAGGGACTCACTGCTGCACCAACACATCCCCACATTTCACTCAGGTGGCTGCATCATTATAGTCACTCAACTCTGCACAGATTATTCTGCTAACTAACAAATTCCAACGTTTCAGCTGCTTCTTGTCACATCTTTTTTCGTTTCAGCATGCAAGGAAGGATGACTGAAAAAATTATATTCTACTTGCTATTTCCTTATGCTGTTGCTGGAATTAATTGTTGACAAAGTTTCTTGTGGGGAATGCAATGAAAATACAGTATGATTGTAATATATTTCTGGCATGATTCATGGTTACCAGTGGAAATATTCAATGATCTTTTCATATACATATAGTAATTGCTTCTTCCCTGAGACAATAATAAGTTGCAATACAATTACACTCTTGTTCTTCTTCGTATGAGAAATGGCCACATGAGTGGAACAGAATCAGAAAAGCAGAATGTCCCTGGTATCTTTTCAATATTCATCTACTCACCTGAGATTCTGCAGTCTTTTGAATAACACTAGACTTTTATAATCAGACTGATTGTGCTGCCTTAAGATAAACAATTCATAAGATAGCTAAAGTTAATTTTCATTACAAAACTAGGTATTAAGGAGTTATTCCTAAGTCATTCCCTAAAGGTAAAAACTCCGAGGGATGCAATATGTTGCAGATAAATCCTCCTAATATAAAGCAATAAATTCACAGTTACACAGAGATGAGCAACACTCACTTTTCTCTAATAAACTGCTGGATCTTGGCTGCTGCTGCAGAAGCTGGTTTCTTTGAACAAAGGAGTCCCTGTCTTGTGAGAGCTCATTACCCATATGATAATACTGTTCATTTCCCCCACACAATTCATTGGAGGACCAGTGGGCTCCTTGCAAACTTCTAATTAGATCTCACACTCTCCCTGAGCAGTAAGGATGATTTTACCCATTTCACAGTTGTGGAAGCTGGACCAGGGGGCTGCAGCCAGTGGCCCAGAGCCACCTCTCCTGTCACTTCCACAGCTGGGAATAGACTTTGGATGTTGTTACTCCCAGCTCTCTGTTCCAAGCTCTAAGCCACAACCTCTTGGCAGAAGCTAATTAAAAACTAAGAAAATTATCTGACAAGCTTTCAGAAATGTTATCGGTACCGCAGATTTCTTCTGGTTTCAGAATGAAGTTTCTAGCACAGCTGTAATTGCTGTCTGTGTTGCTTAAGATTTTTTCAATCAGTCAGAAGACTCAGGCTGTATTCCTGATACATCTCAAAGTTCACCATAGTTCTTTGCCCTGTTTTTCACTGGCACCATTTTTCATGGGCATTTAAAAGTGAAAACCCTGAAATAAGTGTTGCAGCATCTTGGATGCAGGCAAAAGCTTCTGGTGTCTGCATATGCAGGGAGAGAGCTGATGTGGTTTCAATTACTTCTTATTGATTTATTAACTCTAAGATTATTTTAATTCTTGCAATCTGCTTTTAAGCATGTAGAAAACCCTTAGAAGAAGTATCCTGGGTTGTTTGTTAAAATACATTGCAACTCAGCTGTCAAAACAGGATGAGTGCCCTCGTGTTTATACTGATGTTAAAACACAGAATCACAGAGGCACAGAATGATTGGGGGTTGGAAGGGACCTGAAAGATCATCCAGACCCTTTCCCCTGGACCAGGCTATTCTGAGCCCCATCCAGCCCAGCCTTGAACACTTCCAGGGAAGTAGGGATCCCCTGCTTCAGCTTCATAAACCTTTATCTCATTTTGTGGAGGGGTGGAAAGGGGCTGGAAAGAGTTAACCCACAGGTCAAGTTCCTTTGCTAACTTTAGAAAAAAGCAAATTATGCAAAAGTTGAGGAGAAGTGAAAATCACGAGGAAGTGGATCTTTCAAGAGGAAAATATGACATATTCAGCAAAATGCCACTAAACCTCTTTCTCCTGGCATCACCTATGGGTGAAAGCAATCCCGTGTCTGGTGGTGTGGCACAGGGCTCACAGGGAGAGGCAGCTGCTGCTCACCCACAGGGAGGTGTGATCTCTGCTCAACCTGGCTGAAATACATATTAGGAAGGGGATTTCATATGGGGGGAGGAGGGCTTGGCATATCATATTTCCCAACATCCCATTAACTTGACATTTGCTAGAGCAACCCCATTTCATTCTCATTTCAACATGGTGATAACTTGTACTCCAATGTAGTCAGAGCCTGGTGCTGTTAGCAAAGCACTGCTGCCAGTGCTGGAGCACATTTAACACTGCCAAGAAGCTGTGACTTGCAGGAATTTGGTCCTTCTCTGGTAAAACTACAACTGTTTGCTCATTTGGAGTCATACTCAGAGCAAGGTTGCCATGAGAGGATTTCAGAGAGCACTTTTTCAGTTTGGGAAAGAGCTGCAGCTTGAACAGGGAGTGTTTGAAAAACACCAGCAGCAATCAGCTAAACAGGCAGAGAGTCAAATTATCACCTTACAGATAAGCTGGTAGCCAGAGAGCTCCTAGCTATTAATCATAGAATCAAGCCTTCTACCCTTTCATCTTTCCAGGAGAGCAACGTGCCAGATGTGACTGTGGCCCTGCTGCTGTGACACATGCAGGGTGTGACAGTGTGCTGGGCAGAGCTGCCTCACCCCTCAAACAGCAGCAGCACTGCACAGTGGGGTGACATGTTGCTCCATCAGTGTTGTCCCTGTGCAATGTGACAGTGTCAGACATGATCAATAATCAATACTGCCAGCTACTGGCAGTGATGAATCTCTTCTCCACCCTATTTGGATTCTGCCTGGGACTTAGCATCCTGCTGCAGGACTGT